TTTTTTTTTTTTTTTTTGCTACTTGAAGCTGATGAAATTGAACCACATATATCTGCATGAACAAGACCCAATTTTTTATGTTGCTCTCCATTTACCCATTTTTGGAAATGGTGTCCACTAATCCGTATTTGAAACTTGGAGGTATCTTCCTTCATTTGGTATGGTAGATGTTTCAGTATGCAAAATAAACAGCTGATTTGCGCTTATAATTGACTCTGCTATTTTTCTTTTTTGTGGATGATAAATGTTATATACACCATCTTTGAACAGCAGTGCTACTCCTTTTTCTTGTAGTTGTCCAATGCTCAAGAGCTTTTTTTGAGTTCAGGTACTCAATACACATTAGTAATATGTAACGAACCTCATGCAAAGTTAATTTCACTGCACCATTTCCCTTAACTTTCATACTTGTATTATTTACAAGCTTGACAACGTGGGAAAAGGTCTTGTCTAAGCTTGAAAACATATCTTCACTTCCACACATATGGGTTGAGCAACTAGAATCTAAGAACCAAACATCGCTCCTTTTTGCTTCATGTCTTTCCATATGAGCCATTAACAGCATTTCATCATCTTCTTCCAGCTCTGCCTAATTCAATTCCTTATTCATTCTTGGACATTCATATTGAAAATGACCTAAGTCATGACACCTATAACATTCAATCGTTGCTTTGTTGAAAGTTGATCTTCCTCTTCCGTGTCCTCTGCCCCTGTAAGTTCCTATTCCTCTGTCACTTATTTATGTTCGTCCTTCGACTTTTAGAACTTGCTCCTCTCCATTAATGTTGGATCTTCGAAAATTTTGTTCATGCACCACTAATGAAGTTTATAATTCATCAATGGACATGTTATCAGTATCTTTGGATTCTTCCATGGATACTATAACATAAATAAATTTTTCAGTCAAGGTACGCATAATTTTTTCTACAATTTTGCTTCTGATCTTGTTGTATATCTTCTCCATTACTTCTCATCTTGTTGGAGATTATCATCACTCTTGCAAAATAATATGTGATACTTTCATCCTTCTTCATCTCTAGGATCTCAAATTCTCTCCTTAATGCATTAAGAAGAGATTTCTTCACTCTTTGGTTTCCACCAAATTTTCGCTTCATTGAGTCCCAAACAATCTTGGATGTGTGCGTTCCAAGATGTGTTCAAAGACAGTACGATCAATTGCTTGCAAGAGGTAATGCTTTACTCGGTGATCTTTGAGTCTAGCATCGTCAAGGTGGCCCTTTTGTGCAAGTCAGCATTGTTCCTAGTTTTGAGAAACCAATCTCCACCACACTCTATAGACCTTTTGCTCTAATCAAATTTTCCATCAGCTCACTCCAATGATCATAGTGACCGTCCAAGTGAGGGATCTTTGCTAAAGTTTTGTCTTCACTCATACTCTCTCTATTTGATCTAAGCCAAACATAAATAATTGAAGTTTAGAGTGATAATATTATTGAATGCTGAACTTACATAATCAAATTCTTCCATCAACAGTATCAACCCATGATTAAGATAAGTTTAGATGAGATAATTATCTCAACCATAAATAAGTTTATGTGGACGATACAAACTCAAATGAGTTGAACTATGGGAACAAGAAGTAAGATTCTCATGATTAAGATGAGATAAGTGAGCTTTAAATTTGAAATTGGTAATAAATAATAGATAACTTATGTATTAATTATTTAGTTAATGTAATAAAAACTATATTTAAATTTTATTATGAAATTAGAGTAATATTTTATTAATTAAATAAAATATTTGAACACATTTGCAATTTTTTTTTAATAATTATTTTATACCATAAATATTTGGTTGTTCATGAAAATATTTTGGATTATTCACCAATATGCAGTAATTATATACAAATATATGTAACATAAAATTAACCTCGTTTTATTTTAATATCTATATTTTTCAATTTTAAAATTTTAATTATTATACTTTCCATGATTTTTAAAACTAAATTTTACAACCATTAATGTTTGGCTTATAAAAATTTATGGTAAAGTTGAAAGAATTTATTTTTTAATAAATATTTTTGATGTGAAGTCATCTGAAAATTACCTTCGAGCATGGACGACATCTGCCCATGGATGATGAAATTTCCATCACTTCCATCATCGACGGACCAGCACCAGGAGCTTCTCCTTCTCAATCCATGACGCTAATTTAATGAACCAAATCCCTAACCCCGACGACTTTTCCCTTCTCGCCGGCGACCATCTCTTCCCCATCCTTTCCTCCTTCCATGGCGGCCTCCGCTCAACAGACTCCTTTCTTACGCTCCCGTCAGCCCTCCAACACTGGCGGCTCTACTTCCCCCATCGGCCCCCTCGCCGTTCTCTTGGGCCGTGCCACTGGCCGCCGTGGAACTTCTATGGTAGTACGAGAGACGGCGGCGCGTGAACTTGAAGAGCGCCGCATCGATTGGGGCTACTCCAAGCCGGTTGTGGCGGTTGACATTGCGTGGAATTTGGCTTTCGTTTTCGTTTCGTTGGGTGTGCTTATTCACTCGGTCGATGAAAAACCCAATACGCCAATTCGGCTTTGGATTTTAGTTTATGTGGCTCAGTGTTTGGTGCACTCTGTGCTTGTGTGGTTAGAGTTTAGAAGGAGGAATGCGAGGAGGGCTATGGATATGGAGACGCCGCAACACCCGCAACCTGATATTGACGGATATTTTTCTAATGAAAGCAATGACGAAGATGGTAGCCCGAGGAATCTGTCCGGGTGAGTAAAATTTCAGTCCTCTCTGCTAAGATCAAGTTGTGATGGTCTTGGGTCCGAACTTTGGTTCTATTTGCTGAAATTCGATATGGGTTTGAGCTCTATTTGATAGAATTTTTTCATTTGCTTATCAAAATGGCTTTTCTGACTTTAATTTTGTGTTCATTGTATGGATGACCAGGCAATTTTGTGTTCATTTCTGGCTTCTTAAATGTTTAACCCTGCATTCTTTTTGGAATCATAAATATTTGCCGCTTCTGCGTGCTTTTCTATTAATATGAACAGAACAGTTAAATTCAAGGATAAAGTACAGTGATTTGCAGGGGTTATACATAGATAGGATAAGAGACTGGAGAAATTTTCATTAGATCGAGCAAAGTAAGAAGGGTAACGAGAAATCAACCAAATCCCTTTTTCTTTAGATTAAGAAAAATCCATTACATACTTCTATTAGTTCACAAATATAGCATTAATTATCTTCTTCCCTTTCCATAACTAAAAATTGAATTAGACCCTTTCTGCAATTTTCTGTTTTACTTTCACCTTCAATTCTTTCCAACACCTATTTATGGTCCCATCTTCAATTGAATTTGTTATCGTATCTTGCTTCAGTTATAAATTACTGATTTGATGATTTTTAAGTTGGTAGCATGTCATTGACTTGGTGGTATGGATGTGCAGTGTTGCCAAAAGATGTGAGACAGTGAACACCTTGGTATCGTTAATTTGGTGGTTACTTGGCTTTTATTGGGTCATGGCTGGTGGTAACCTCCTCCTGCAGAATGCTCCATCTTTATACTGGTATGATTTTGAACCGTCGCGATGCTGGCTGCATATCCTTCTTATGTTTTTATTATAAAGGAAAAATGTATTTTTTTTTCTTTTGATTGCTTGTAATGTGTTTCACATTGAAGGAAATCTGTTAACGTTTTCCTGTTCTTCCCCCTCTATTATTGAATTTCTGATTATTCTAGTCATGTCATGAATCATTTTCTAGATGGCATTTGATGTTCAGTTTCCTTCATTCTCAAATGTCTTAAATTCCTTCAAAATTAACCTGGGGGTGGTAAGCAGGTTGATTTTTGGCCCAAAAAGACTGATGAAATTTATTCAAGTTAACCTGCTCGGACTATTTTTTAGTTTTTCACTCTAGCAATTCAAAATGCCTAATAAGCATTGTTCAGGTCGACATTACTGACTCATTTTCAGATAGTGTCGATGGCTGTTTAAGTTTGAGCTTGCACCCTTAAACTAACTAGCTTTTATGTGATTTTTACAATTTGTAAGAGGCCAATGAATTCCGCTCTTCCTTTGGGGGGATAGTAATTGTTAATTATACGTTTAGTTAGTCCCTCCCTCAAAAGCTCTTTTAATTAAAAGCCATCAATCTAATAAATAAGCTAATAAAATTTCTGACATGGAATCAGTAATGAGCAAACATATCCTTCCTTCTTCCGTTGCTGAAAATCAAATGGCTTTGGGGGCAAATAGACCAATTCTGTATGCTTATCTGATTGCAAATGAAGTAATTGATGTTTGGAATTTATCTCATAAGGAAGGTGTTGTCCTTAAACTAGATTTGGAGAAAGCTTTGATAAAGTAGATTGGGATTTTCTGGATGTGATTTTACTGGCAAAAGATTGTGGGCACAGATGGAGGAAACGGTTGTATCTCTATTGTCAGTTTTTTATTATTGTTAATGGGCTACTTAAAGGTAAAATCATACTGACATGGGGTATTAGACAATAGGATCCTCTTTCTCCTTTCTTTTCATTTTGGTTTCTGATTGTCTCAGTCACATGTCATCACATGATGCTGGTTTGGGAAGAATTTTGACTTATTCGGTCGGTAAATCTCTTGTTCGATTAACTCCTTTGCGATGATGATACGCTATAATTCTTGGTTTTTGTTTCGAAAATGTAAAATTTTGAGGGTTCATCGAAATGATTGAATTGGATTGGTTGACGACAATGTTTGGATGTAGACATGGGTCTTCTCCTTCTACTTATCTTGGTGTTCCGTTGGGTGGTAATGCGAAGACTTTCCTTTTTTGGCAGCCTGTATTTGAAAAAATTCATCATAAGTTACATAGTTGGAAATATGCCTTCTTTTCGAGAGGTGGTCTCCATACCCTTATCCATGCCACTCTTTCTAATGTGCCTACTTATTACCTTTCTTTAGTCAAATTACCATCTAAGGTTGCTAAAACTCTGGACAAGCTGCTTAGAGGCTTCTTTTGGGAAGGTTCTAGAGGAGATGGTGGAATGCATAACATTAATTAGGAGAAGAGACTGCTCCCTCAACTTTCAGGGCAGTTAGGTATTGGTCATTTTTCAGGTTCAAAATTTGTCTCCATTATGGAAATGGATTTGGAGGTTTCTGCACGAAAAAGATTCACTTTGGCACAATATCATTGTTGGTAAATTCTATCAATCAAAGGATATTGGTTTGTGGCCTAAGGCTGTTACGAGGGATTGTTTTAAATAATTGTGGTGTGCTGTTTCTTCTACTATTGACCTTATTGCCAATCGCGTCCAGAGATGTATTGGAAATGGTATTCACACTTCTTTTTGGCATGATTCTTGGCTAATTTGTTGGAAGATTGCTATGGCTTTTCCTAAACTTTGTTGGTTAACAAATAGGCCTCATGCTACAGTAGCGCAATTATGGAATAGTTCAAATGCCGCTTGGGGTTTGGGGCTTCATCACAATCTTACTGATCCGGAGGTTATTGAATTGGCTCATCTCTCCAATCATCTATTGGTCACTTGGCTCTTCACAAATTGTCACAGTAAAGTCTTTCATGAGTGATCTAGTGCATGACATTAGCCCTAAATCGAACCACCTTTACTCGGTGGTTTGGATAGATGTTTATCCTAAGAAAATTAAAATTTTCCTATGGGAGCTTAGTCATGGTACTATCAATAAAGCTGATCATTTAAGGAGGATGCTTCATTTTGTCTTATCACAACATCCTATTATGTTATTTGTTGTTCCAGTTCAGATTTTCCTTGTCATCCATTCGCTCATTGCTCTTTTGCTTCATAATTTTGTGCAACTATGCTTGATGCTTTTGAATGGTCCACGGGCTTACCAAACACCTTTCACTAGCTCTTGGATTTGGTTTTCGTGGGACATCCATTTCATGGTGTCAAAAAGATCTTTTGGCTTGCTATTAATCAAGTTTTCTTTTCGTATATATGGTGTGAAAGAAGTGGGAGAATGTCTAGGAACTCTTTCTCATCTTTTGGCAGTTTCTTGGATTTGATTAGTTTTCTTTCTTTGTATTGGTGTAAGAATAAACACCCTTTTAGTGACTATAGGCTTTCCACTTTGATTTCTCATTGGGGAACGTTTTTGTAATCATCTATTGGTGTTGGGAGTTTTTATAAGCTTCCTTTATTTCAGTTATCATTGAAATTGTTTCTTTCTAAAAAAACCTGTAATGAGCATAAAGGACGTTCCGGGGTTTTTTGTTTTTCTTTCTTCCCCTGTTTTAAAATGAAGGAATTACCCCAATGGTGACTCTGGTGATTAGAGCTTGGAGTGTTTGGAGGTAACCTCTGGATAAAACTTAATGATGTAGGGCAGCTACTTGTTGGAATAATCAATGGGAAAACCCTGTGTTTTTTATGTTGGGTTGCTATGTTCTTTCATTTTGTTCTGTTTTTCAGATTTGGCTTTGGTTGCCGTTACTCTTGATTTGTTTAAAACTTGTTATTAGGCTCTTACAAGTAATTATTAGCGTTAGTCCTACTAGCCGTTGACTGGTTGTTAGAGCTAGTATGTAAGTTTTGGACTGAATCTTTTAATAGAACTCCTTTTCATTGGTTCTACATTGCTTGGTAACATAAAATCCTTGACATTTGCGGCCTTTATGGGGGTAGATGGAGATGATGAGCATAATACAAGGATTTGGAACCTTCATATCCTGGTTATTTAAAAAAAAAAAAAGAAGGGATCCAATCAAATTTGAAGTGCTTTTATTAGTATTATTTGGTTGGGAGGGGGGCATGCAGATTTTTGTACATCATTTATCTGTTCCAAATTCAAATGAAAGACTTTCATGGTTTCTAATTCTGAGTTCTTGCAGGCTGGCTGTCGTATTTCTGGCATTTGATGTGTTCTTTGCCATCTTTTGTGTTGTTTTGGCATGTTTGATTGGAATAGCTCTCTGTTGCTGCTTGCCTTGCATTATAGCTATTCTTTATGCTGTTGCAGGCCAGGTAAGAGGAAATCCCGGTTTTCATGGTTGCTTCAGAGATGTTAGGCAGAATGAAGGCACATGAAACCTGCTAACTTCTTTCTTTCCTTTTTCCCTTCACATGAATCTCAGCAGGAAGGTGCAACTGATGCAGATTTAAGTACTCTTTCTAAGTATAGATATCAAGTATCCAACAATCCTTCTCCCGGGGACGGGTTGATGGTTCCAATGGAAACAAGCAGCCGATACTTGACGACTGAACATGTTCTATTACGAGAGGATGCGGTAAAGTTAATTGTTTTATCGTTCTTTATAAGTTTGTGTTCCTGTTAGTCACACTGCTTCAGTATCATACATCTAATGTGTACATATAAGAGATAGAACTACATAGATATTGTGTGTACGGTAGGTAGAAGGAAATCTAAAGGTTACTAAAGATTGGAAAGAGAGTAGGGATTGAATTTATAATTTAACGCATCCCACATCGGTTAGAAAGGGGAACGAAGCATTCTTTGTAGAGGTGTGAAAATCTCTCCCTAGTAAACGCGTTTTAAAAACTTTGAGGGGAAGCCTAAAAGGGAAAGCCTAAAGAGGACAATATCTGCTAACGATGGGCTTGAGTTGTTACAGGAAGAGTATTGATAACCACCATGATCTTTCTCTTCTTTCTTGAACCAATTTCATCTAAAAACTCAATGTTTATGCATAATCTTTGTGCTCTTCCTTTCAGGAGTGTTGTATATGTCTTAGTTCATATGAGGACGGAGTCGAGCTTCATGCTCTTCCCTGTAATCACCATTTTCATTACGCGTGTAGCACAAAATGGCTGAAGATGAATGCGACCTGCCCTCTGTGCAAGTACAACATATTAAAAAACTGTGAACCCGTGTAACGCTGTAGATGAAACGATGCAACGAGTTCCTGGTATGTTTGCCATCCTTGTATGTACGTATAGATCAGTTCATCCTGGTTGATCTCTGTTGTATGTAATCAGTCAACTAATGTGATCTGTAGCAACAATTACGAATATCTTTTTAGTCGATGTGTTCAGATTATGAGTTTAAAATTTATAATTCAACTTCTATCATTCTCTTCCCATTTATTATTGGTTGAATATATGATCAAGCCTAACATCTGGGTACCCTTTTCAATTGATTCCCTATTATGCATTGAGCTTCATAGACTTCGAATATTAGAATCGACACCTTGAATTATAAAAGGTAGTTCACACATTGAAATTTCAGGTCTTTATGCATTTTAATTCGTAATAATTTACATGTTATTAAAAAAAAAAAAAGGTTAAGAGTTTCTGATGTTTTTGAAATATTTCAGTGAATTAATGTTTTAGTAGAAGATTTAAAAGAAAGCGAAGAAAATTCAAAGGATGAAAATACACTGAACCAAGTGTTCCAACTCCTGCTTCCTAATAAATACAGAATATACAATCAAATTTACTCTTCTATCACGAAAAGAGCCCTACCGAGCACGAGGACGTAGCCCTCCTGATCTACATTATCATATATTTATATAACTATGTCCAGGAAAACCATCCTTCCAGGCTCGAAACTGCTGAAAGGGTTCTACAAGGCATATATCTTCTCGAGGTCAGAGTTATAGTCATCGTCATCAGATATGTTAACCGAGTGAGGCCACGAGAAAGACTTGCCTCCACTTGCCCGTCTGATTCGCCTTTGAGAGTCACTGCAAAAGATTCCGAAATGTTGTCGAAAAACCAGGTAGCACATGATTGCAAGAGTTGCAACAAGAATTGGAACTCCGACAAGAGTGATGGCGAGAGCCATCCATGTTTCGTGCCCTACGACAACATAAGCAATCGATATGAAAGCCCCAGAGGTGCAAGCACAGGCAGCCCACATTAGCTTGTTTACAACTGATACAACCTGCTTTTGAGCCGTTGTGTCCCATGCTACCAATGTAATTTGAACCACAACAACAGCTAAAGATATGAACAAAGATATAGTGTTCAGAAGGCAAAATACTTGGAATCCCATATTATCGGCTATATTCGCCTTCCCGACGTCTTTTCCTTTCTGTATATACTGACCCGGCAAGTTGAAGATGGCCAGGAATGCAATGGATGCAAAAAGGACAGCCACAACTGTGATGGAATTTGTGGTATTCTGAACAGCCTCTCTGTGGAGCTTCTTAAGTTCTTTGACAATGCCAGAAACTCTCCGACGTGTCTTTTCGTTTTGGATAAGTTGCGAGTGAACCTCGTGCTTTATGTCACTGACTGTCCGTTTGAGCTCCATTGCTTCATCAACTTGGCCAACATGCCTAGCATATTTGGCACCAGCTTCAGCCAATGCTTCTTTAATCTCCAGTGAAGACTCGCTGTATTGCAGTTTGTCAGCCAAGTCCATAGCGGTTTCGTGTTGACTATTGATCGCATTGACATCGAGCGATGTAAAGCTCAGCAAAAGGCTTACAATCTGAAAAACAACAAACGAAGGCAGGCATGAATCAGCACCAAAAACAACTCATAGTTTCAGCAGAAAATTGAATCACACAAGGGATTCACAATATAATAAATTAACTGGTGTTGTGAAGGCTCTATGTAAGCTACTTCTAATATATCAATCTAATTTCAGAGCTACTTGTGTTGTACCTCTGACCGACACTTTCTAGTTGCTATATGCAAGGCAGTATTTCCCATCCTGTCTCGTTCGTTCAATATAGATGCATCGCCGTGCAATAGCTCCTCGACTGCTGCAGTGCTCTGACCTTTCACAGCCATGTGAAGTGCAGTCTGGGACTTCTTATCCTTAATTGCAACTATTCCAGGATCACGATCAATAAGCGTTTTAACAATTCGAAGGAGACCGTACCTAGCTACATTATGCAGAGCTGTCTTTCCATTCTTCCTTACGATTCTCACTGTACCGACATCGGCATCTAAGATAGCATTAACTACTTCCAAATGGTCCTGTACAGCAGCTGAATAGAGAGGGCTCGTATTTGAGGAGTCACATGACCGGCAAAGCTCTGGCCAAATGCCCAAAAGCTCTTTTACAATACCTGAAACAAGTGAACGTTTAACTCCCCAGATATTTAAAGCAAGATATATCAGTAGGAGGTAAACCTTTTCGACTTTTGATGGACAATTATTCAACAAAATGAGCCTACATGACTATCTCCAATAATCAACAAAAGAGGAAGAACATAGCCTAAATCCTTAACTTTTCAGATCATCCTGAATTCTATGACAATAAACACTCAGAACTAAAGCAAGATCATGCAAGATCATGGAAGATCAATAAGCTAAACGAATGAAAAAATTGTAGTAAGGTGAAATCTAGGCTTCTTTTTCTCAGATAATTGAATAAAACCCAAATGAGAAGCAAAACTCATAATGGTCTAAAAAGGGAAGGAAGAAATTATGGTAACTTTGGTTCTGCAGAACTGTTTCAGAAAAATAGAAGCATCAACCAAAAAGGAACTAAAAATTTGATCCCTGAAATTCCTTTTTAAGCACGTTCTTGTGTTCTTGTGTTCTTGTGTTTTGTACCATGTCAGTTGTCTGAGGCTCTAAATATACTTGGACTGCTTCAAAGACCATATTGGGATTCAGCTCTCTAAAGAAATTGTACTCACATTTCTCTAAAAAAGCAAGTAAAGCAGAAATACATGGTTCCTCAATCTGGTGAATGGTTCGAACTTCGAAGCTCTTCAACCATGTATGACTTTTAGCACCTCAAACTAAAATTAGAAAAAGCTTCCCAGAGCAGTCATCAGTCAATGATTGGCAACAGTGATAGCAAATTACTATCTGAATTCATCAAGTCAAGATTCACAGAAAGACGAAAAATCAACCAATTTCTCATAACCCAATTGGAAACGAAACAGTAAGAAGAGAGAAATTAAGTCAAAGTGAAACAAAAGTTTCATAGCAATAATACCTAGATGGCCACGCTTAGCAGCAACATGAAAAGGGTGCAAATCAGATTTGGACCTAATCTTCAGGATCTGGACAGTGGAAAATTGAAGCAAATAGCTAAAAACCTCCTCAAGATTATTCTCAGCCGCCATGTACAGAGCCGTCTCCCCAGCATCGTTCTGCATCGCCATCAGATCGGTGATCCAAGAACCCTCGGCCTGTTCATCTCCGGCAAGCTTATCCAAAACTCGTTTGATGGCCTCGAGGTCCCCAGATCGAACGACGGAGAAGAACGATTGATGGGTGATGAATCGCAGAGCCTTGGATTCCATCATCCAACCCTTAATCTTCAGAACCCACCAAGAACTCGAAAACTAAAATTGGGGTAGAGAGTTTTTAACTTCGCTTCCCCTTTTTCCCCCAAGCGATTCGATTGGGAGAGAAGAATTTAATGGAGCTATGATCAGTACAGCGACCCATTAAGTACACAGTAAAGAAGTGGTAAATTGTGGAGGGGGAGACTGTTTTGTTTGTTTGCTGCCGCGAATTTCGTCCTCATCGCCAAGGAACATTTACGAGATCATTACAATGGATTGAGCTGAGAGACAGCTGAGAATCTGTCGGCTCTCGGTTCAAATTATTCTTCGTTCTCTTCCCCTGCGCCGCATTATCATCTGTTTTACTTCATCTTGAAGAAAGGATTTTATATAGATTTTAAATATGAAAACAAAAAATTAGAATTTAATATTTATAAAGATTTCTACTAACCTATGAATATACTCGCAAATAAACATTAAAAACATCATCTTTTGGGAAAAAAACGTCTTTAAAATACCATAACGAAACTACTATCCTATGCACGTGTTATGGTCTCTACTTGAGATGTCGTCGTGAGCCGTATACAGATGTCTTACCTTTACCTAGAATAGAAGTAGCATACTGCTTGAATATTTTAAGAAATACTCAGTAAGTGACCTTACTATTGAGATCAAGGAAGGCAAACAAATACAACTCATGATCTAAGGACATATAGTTAAAACCATCATAGGGTTGGCTTCCATTCCAGACAAATTAGATGTGTAGTACTTTCTTACACACGACCCACACGTGCGAGTGTGAATCCCCAGGCGATTCGCACCCCCCATGGACCCATCATAGTCGAGCTAGTTGTTTGTAGCAACGTTTGGAGGTTAGCATACCCCCGAGTATAATGCGAGACATGATCATTATCATCATCATCGTAGTGTACGCATTCGTACTCATCATCATAAATGAGAAAGTAACATGATGTATATGTACACACAAAATGCATGAGGTCCTTGTAGTTTTCGTATTTAAATTATTTTTATGACACGACCGACTCATCTACATATTACTATAAGTAACAACATGTTTACGTTGACCTTCATAAATTCATCATCATTAACATTAACTAGGATTGTGTCTTGAAAAAATCATCGTTATAATGCATCGTGACATTTAATACATGCACATTATCTTAATATAGAATAATGTCATATTAAATCATCTTGTTACATTGTCATGTTATCATGCATCATCATCATATAATGTTATCATGTAACATCATCATATAACCTAGTCACATCATCATATATCATAATCTCATCATTATATAATATAGTCACGTCATCATATATCATACTCTCATCATCATATAATATAAATAATAAATGACATGTGCAAGGGTAAGTGGACACATGTCGTCATACATAAAACAAGTATTCCAATCGAGCCAATAGTAAGACCAGTTACTTGGTTGCCCTTAGCCGGCGTTCTCCTTAAACTCGAGTACATTTGAATTCAATCCCTTAAAGTTGGCTAATGGATCGGTATCAACAATTATTCGGCTGAATCCGGATCCACAAATCTCGCCTTCCTTATCTGACAGCCTCGTGAAATTTCTTCAACATTCTCTCTCTTTTCGAATCATTTTCTGACGATACTTTTCGTTGTCCTTCGCCCTCCGTGGCCTTTCGTTGGTCATTTCCTTCGCTCCCCCGACATAATACACTTTTGTATGTACCTGTAGCATAGTTTATCCATTTAAATGGTTACGTAGTTTAAATATTAAATTATTATCGTACCGATGAAGAAGAAAAAAAAAAACTATAAGTATGAGGGTTAAATTAGAAATATAATTTCAAAATTTTAAATTTGGTATCTATTTCTAAACTATTAAAATTATAAAGTTGAGTTCCTAAAATTTGGTTTTTTTTTTTAATTCACAGATGATTTAAATTAGACATAAAATTTAAATTTAAATTTAATAAATAATTTTTTTTTTAGTTTTTGAATATGTTAACAAGTTTCATAAATTTTAGATTTAACGAATATCTATAATAACTAAAACAAACATATATATTTCTTATTAATATTTAACTTCAATTTTTTATATTAGAATTATATAAATTTAATTTAAATTAAAAAATTATATTTTTTTTTTACTTCAAATAATTCGATAAAAATATAAAAAAAAAATATAAAATCTAATTTTAGTTTAAATAATAAAAATAAGAAAAAATTTGAAGTAACAAATTAAAATTAAAAGGAAAAAAAAACACAAGATTTATATTAGAAGCAACAAATTAAATTTAAACAAAAAGGATGAGATGAGGTAAATGGTAAAGAATTATATTTATATATAAAAATAACTTTTTAGATAAGATACAAAAAGATTAAAAAATATTTTTTAAAATGTGTCATTTACGCCCAGTTTTATAAAACAAAATGTAAAATTACTCTTTAACCCATTTTATAAATCATAATTATTTTTTAGTATGTATATTAAGACTACTAAACTTTAAACTTTTAGTTCGGATCATATTTATATCTAATAAATTTGTTAGTTTTAAATTTTAGTGATTCAATATATTTTTTTATAATCCAAAAATTTTAATTTTATAATACTTTTAGAATTCTATTATATAATTTTTTTTTAATTTCATATTTAATAAAATGATTAGTCTTAACAAATTTGAATATGTCAAAAATCTATGTTTTGAAAATGAAAAATTAATGTTTGAAATCCAAATTCCAAAACTTTAAGCACTAATTAATTAAATAAGTAATAGTTTAAGAGGAAAAGGTTGAATTATTTTGTGAAGTAACATGATAGAATAGCAATTAGCATTATTTGTATGTAATGTGTGTTCAATAATTAAATATATATTTTTATTTTAGAACTAAATTATTTCTTTATGTATAAGAAAAACTTCCGCAATAATAGAAAGGAAGATTAACCAAAATGAATCAAAAAAAAAATCATTTTTTACTATTCAAAATCTAAAAATAAATATTAGATGCGACTAAATTGATTTATAGAGACTAAAGATATAACATTATAAAAACTATATTATTATAAACTAAATTTTAAGGTTAAATGGTCACAAAAAAAAAATTATTTTTTAATCTCATATTAAATTATAAGTTTAGAGCTTTTAATCGTCTAATTAATTTATATATATATTATATATATATATTCAAATGACCCATGATCCAACCTACTCACACTATTCAATCTAAGATTGGGTTGGATTAGATTCTTTTATCGAGGTTGAGTTAAGTTAAATTTTTTAAAAAATCAAAAGTTCTTGTGATAGGTTGAGTTTAGAGTTAGACATTTTTTTTTGTAGGACAATCCAAAAATAGAGTTACATTTCAATCTTACCTTAGCCTATTTTTAAGATTATTATAAAAATAAAAAAAACATTTAAAGTTTGTAGCAAACATTATTGATACATCCTAACTCGTAAATATTTTAATTATTAATATAACATAGATGGTAGATAGTAAGAATTTTTTATAATAATAATAAGATAAGAACGGATCATTTAATCTAATGAAACATGAAAACACATAGTTGAGTTATAAATTCTATTCAAATTATTAGCTTTAAACAATCTAATTCATCAGAAATTTTGAATGGATCGAAAAGATTTCCAAAATTCAAACTCAACCCACTCTTTCTATAAATCTGATTATTATTATTATTTATATATTATGATTATTAGAAGATTCGATTATTATTCAGTTTAACATGTTATGCATGACTAAATATTCATTAGCTCCGTTCCAAGCGCAGTCCCTCTCTCTCTCTCTCTCACTGTATATATTTGGAAAGTCAAATTTCATGGCATTTCAATCTGTTACAAATTCCCAATTCCTTCTCCCATTCTGTTTCTTCCGAATCCGCTTCTCTTTCTCCCCACCCCTACAAATCTTCCCTTCCTCCCCGATTCACATTCTGTTTCCGCTCCTCGTTCTCTATCCGATCCATTTCTTCCTTCCCCTGTTTTGTTCATCAATTTCGACGCAAACTACTGAGCCACACAAATCTCTTTCCCCTGAAATTATGGGATTCAAATCTCTCTTCTCCCGGAAGAAGAAATCCGATTCCTCCAGCGATTCACCGCTCGGATCCACCACGGTTCCGATTCTCGGATCTCGAACTCCGTCTTTCAATTCTCGAGCGCAAATCGCGGAATTGGAGCAAGTATTCAAGAAATTCGATGTCAATGGCGACGGCAAGATCTGCTCCTCTGAACTCGGTTCCATAATGGGGAGCCTAGGCCAGCCGGCCACGGAGGAGGAGCTTCAGAACATGATCAAGGAAGTCGATGCCGATGGCGACGGCTACATTGACCTCCATGAGTTCATTGAACTCAACACCAAGGGAGTCGATTCCGACGAGGTGCTTAAGAATCTGAAGGACGCATTCTCCGTCTATGACCTTGACGGCAACGGATCCATCACGGCGGAGGAATTGCACGAGGTCTTGAAGAGTTTGGGCGACGACTGCTCGCTGGCGGATTGCCGGAACATGATCAGCGGCGTCGACAGAAACGGCGACGGTATGATTAGTTTCGATGAATTCAAAGCCATGATGATGAGCGGTTCTCGATCTCACGGCCTCAGTGATTAGTTAATGCTAATTGATAATTATGAGTAATTAGCTATTTTGCTAACACATTTTCCGTTCTTATATTTTTCTAATTAGGAATTATTGGCTTGTAATTGATTTTAATTCTAATTAAAAATAAATAAGTAGAAATTGCAATTTTTTTTTTTTTAATTTTTAAGATAATTATCGCAGGCAGAAGATTTTATCTCTGTTTTGCATCTACCAAATTTGGTTTCCATTACATAATTATTAATTAATGCTTTCACATTATACCTTCCACGAAAAAGAAAATACATGATTGGAAAATTAAATTGAATTCAAAAGAAAAAAAAAATTTCTTAAATCCCTCATAATAGATTTCAATCAAAATGATAACAAACAAATAAATAAATAAATAAATATATATATATATCTTATTTAATTTTATAATTATATATATTTTTAACTTTTTTTTTAGATTATATTTCAAAAATATATATTGAAACTGTGTTTAAAATTTAATTAAATGTTTGAAAATAAATATAATATATATGTAAATATTTATTTTTATTAAAAGCAAAAAAAAATTCAATAAGCAAAACTAATAACAAGGGTTTTTGAATTGAAAATTTTGAAATTTGAAAAATTTACGAACCACAACCGTTTTAAATTTCTATTTTTTGTTTGGCCTTCCAAAAAAATTTACGACTCATTATAACTATTTGTTTTTTTTTTTAATCTTAAATAATTTCTTTAATTTGGT